GCTCGCCATACAGAGAGAGACAGAGAGACAGAAAGCGAGAAATCACCCCTCGGGGGGATGGCCATGCCACAATCCCTTCTCTTCCATTCTCCTCTCGGGATCCTGGGCATGCACGCACACGCGCCCGGCGTGAGTTTTAAGCCACCGGGTCCGGGACGTGAACCGCGGTCGACTACATGGGAGTCCAGCGACATAGCCATTACGCTAACTGCTGGTCCCTGCACCTTTTTCTCAAGCTATTGGAGGCAAGCACACTAATAAAAAAGCTCCCAGGTAAGCCCAGGCTCACTGGGTAAGCTGAGATGCTTTAGTGGAGACACCAGGCTTGGCCAGGGTAAAGTCTTCACACAACAACGGACCAATGAGGAGCTGGTGCAAGGGTGGAGCAGGGCAGGGGATGGGAGGGAGGGAGGTATTTATCCAGGCACCAGCGCACTAATTGGGAGCACACCAACTGGCCATATGTTCTGTAACTCTTCCTGGCACAGGCAAGATAAAGGCCAAAGTTGAAGCTGACTTATAACGAGAAGGAAGCAGCTGGCCTTTCCAAATAGCCTGTTTCTCGGTTTACAAAGATGGCGATTAAATTGCTAGCAGACTTTCCCCGGCCACCGCATTTGGCCAGCCTGTGGGGCAGGCAAGGTCTGGCAAGATACTCACAGGTGCTCCAGGCCTTCTAGCCCCGAGAATGCTCTCTTCGCCACGGACTTGATCTTGTTTCCAAACAGAGTCCTGCGTTTCCAAACAACCAGGAAGAGAGGTGCGGGTGGGGGCGGAGGTGGGGGAAGAGACAAGGGAGGGTCGGGAGAAAGAGGACACAGTAGTTAGGGCAGTGCGACCTATGTCTGAACAGTGAGAGGTTATGGGTCTCAAGTACGCAGGCTTCCCTTCCTGAGATGAAATGCTTTCATCTTGGTTAGAATTTACTGGTGCTGACAGGTTGGAATGGCACGCACCATGTAGCCTAAAAAGACTCCTTGCAGTGTCAGGTGGAAACCTTGGTCTGCCTGGGCTTGCTCTCTCCAGGGACCACCCAAGGGCGCTGGGGTGGGGAGGACGTTTAGCAATGGGCTTGCAAGAGCAGCATTAGGGGATGAAGCTTCCCAGAAGATGCAAGAAGGGCCAGACAGCGGTGTGGAGGTTTCCGTGGCCAGATCCCACATGACTGAGCATGCAGTTTGAGTCTCAGACCAGATGGCTGAAAACCACACCGGGCACGTGTGCATACGTGCACACATGCATGCCCAAAATCCCGAGAAGAGAATGGAGGAGGAGGGACCGGTGTGGCCATCCTCCCGGGGCAGCGGGGGCACTTTCTCACTTCCCCTTCCTCTTTCTGTCTCTCTCTGGTGAGCACACATGCCCTCTAACAAATAAAGAAGATGGGAAACCAGGAGTCCATAAACTGGCCCCACAGCCCTCTGCACCTGAGCTGTGCCCAATGGCAAGCTGCCCCTGTCTAAGAGAAGGACCCCTGAGGACCTGCAGGACGTGCCCCAGTGCTTTGGCCTCTCGAGCAACACCACACCCACACGTTACTTGAGGTCAGTGGGCCAGAGGCTCATGAAGTCCCATAGAAGAGCCCTCAAGAGGGAGCCATAGGTTATGTAATGCCTGTACCCCTGGACTGCCTGGACTGCCAACCCATGAGAAGGGGCTCCGGCTTCCAGGCAAGTCCGATCCCGGCCTTAGCAGTAACTGCGGAGAGTCTTCTCAGCAAGCACAGCCTGCCCCCTGACGTCCACCTGACACGGGAACCCGTCTGCCAGTGAACATGAGGTCACCAAAGCTGCTGTCAGCCACAGGGATCCTTCAGCTCTGATGGCCACAGGGTTATCAAAAGAGCTTGTTCAGGATGCCCAGTGCTAGGAGCCAGTCCTGGGAATTCTGTACATCAGAGGTTCTGGGATACTAAGGGGCAACAGCAGGCAGCAGGGTGACTGGGGAAACACCGGGAAAAAGTCACTCTGGGCTAGCCTTCACTAGGAGGGACAGTTCTCTGTCCAGATTCCCATCAAGAATCAGGGAGCAGATCTGACCTGGAGGCCTGCTCTGCCTGCAACCCGCATCAGGACTGTGACCACAGGGGAAGACGACGTGTGGCAGCCCTCCCCACCCCAACCACAGGACAGGACACCGACAGCAGGAGAGCAGCCTGGCCCGGCCCACCGCTTTGCCCTGAGCCCCCTCACTGTGCGAGGCTCCAGGGGCCCACAGAGGCGACAGCAGGAGTCCGCCTGCAGGAACATGGGCTCGGGCTGGAGCAGGCTCCACCAGCACCCAGAACTCAATCCACTCCCAGCGGTATTGCCAGCACACGTGGCCGCTTCCAGGCAGCCACACCCCAGGGCTACCTGACCCCCATTTCATCTGAAATGAACAGCTTCCCTCCCCACGGGCCTCCTCTAGAGCAGCCCCAGCAGTGACTCTGAGAGCAGCCATCAGACAGAGCCGCCTCTGTTTCCTGGCTCTGGAGGGTGAAGGGGAGATCAGGCCCCAGAGCACTCTCTTTTCTCTCTCTGCAGGGCTGTCTGCATGGACGTGAAAACGATCCCATCCCCAAAGAGTTTCCACAAACCCTCTCAGTCCACGGCTTTCATTTCAGAACAAATAAATCAAACACGCGGAGAAGCAGCGGCCGTGCTCACTCAGGCTCCCTAACAGAACTGGCCAGCAAGTAACAGCTCATGGGCTCCACCCGGGCGCTGCCACCGCACGCTCGCTCCGCATCCTTCCAGGCTGTCCGAGCTCGGGTCCCAGTCACAGCGGCGGACTGCTTCGTGAACTCCCCCGGGAACCAGATCCAGGACAGAGCTGCGCTTCACTTCGCCCATTAAATATTAGTCACACTGACCTCTTTTACAACGAGGGCAGCCTGTTATTTCTAACGGTGACAATAGCAATAAAACAAATTCTCAAGTTCTCATGACACAGGCGCTGTAACCCTCCTGCTGAGGGACAGACACAGGTCCTCACTGTCTCCCTCCAGGCAGACAGCCAGGCCCAGGAACCCCGGCGAGCAGATGGTGTGGTTCGCATCATAGGCTGCTGGGGGTGGGGAGGGCTATGTCTCAGGCGGGGTGACCCTCATCCCTCAGCCAGGACTTCCAGACAAGGGGCAGCCACCTGCCCTCCTTCCCCAGCACTGCTCGGAGCACACGGTGGCTGTGAAGTCGCCTTCCAAACCCTCTCACGCATCTGGGTCTCCTGCCGATCCAGCCAAGGCTCCTGAAGGCCTGCCTGGCACATGCTATGGAAGCCGTGTGGTGGGAAGCACTGAGGTGCTCCTGGTGCCAAGGTGGTCCTGCCACGTCCTTGAGAGCGACCTCTCCCCATGATGATGCCCACTCTGCATGCCCAGTCCCACCTAGTAACTGGGGAGCACCTACCCAGGCAGGAAGGAGAAGCCATGCCAGATCATTTAATTCTGGGCGTTTCCAGACACTGCCCTCTCGGCAATACTGCCTTCCCCACGACACTGCTCTCCCCACGAGCCCTAAGCGGAATTCCGTCCCTTTCTCTGAGGAAAGCTGGGACCAAGCGCAGCTCCTCACAGGTCCCAGTCCCTCTTCTCCACCTTCACTTAGGCAACCCGAAATCCTCCGTCCCTCCTCCACCACAGCTCTTTGGAAACCAGGGCCCTGGGTAGATGAGATAACCCCACGCAAACTAGGTAGAAAGGAATGTACCAGGGTCTAGGAATATTCTTCCTGCCAGGGAGCTTCATCTGAAGAACTATCCAAAATGGGGGTGCCAGCAGCTGGAAACAGGTAGGGTGACTTCCACCATCTCTTCACAGACAGAGTGAGCAAGGGAGGAAAGGAGGTCTTTCATAGCTCTGCCAGGTCTGGCCTCCTGTGTCAGCGAAGGACCCGGGTCCGTCATTTTCACCCTTCCCCTTCTAAGGCAGCTCCCTGGACACCAGCCCTCCAAGGAGCCCTTGGCGGCCCACAGGGATGCGGCACGCTCACTGCACCTGTGAGGGCTCAGCAGCGCACGTGGCCCTTCCCTCCCCTGCCACACTGCCCACTGCCCACTGCTCAGCGGGTCCCACGGCCCCGGCCTTGGGATGGGGCACCACGGTGCTGTGGTCATGGCCATGCAATGCAGCTCTCCCAGCCATGTGCTGAGATGGGCTGGAGAGGGGATCGGAGCAGTGCTGCTTCCTGCCTGTGCCACCTCCGCCACAGGTTTACCGACAACTGTGATACACCAGGTGCCAGGGTTCCTGCTAGGGCTGTGCACGAGGGTCACACGGAAAGCATTTAGTCTTATTTTTCTCCTTCAGTGCAGATTTTTACTTTTTTTTTTTTTTTGAGAGAGATTTTTGCTATAGGGTACGTGTGCTCACCAGAGACGGAGCAAGACAGACAGACGGACGGATAGACAGAGAGATATCATTCCCCTGTGGGAATGGCCACACTACAATCCCTTTTCCTCCATTCTCCTCTTGGGATTTTTGGTAAGCACACACACACACACACACACACACACACACACACACACACAGTGTGAGTTTCAAGCCTCCGGGTCCGTGACTTGAACGACAGTTGGCCATGTGGGAGTCCAACATCTTAGCCACTATGCCACCTGCTGCACCCCACCCCTTTAAATTTACTAGAAGGTGTGTACACTTGCCCTTGTCAGAGACAGAGAGACAGAGGGAAAGTGAGCAAGCACCTCCCAGAGGAGTGGCCTCTCTGCAATCCCTCCTCCCTTTTCCTCTCAGGACTTTGGGCACAGACATACATACTGCATGCTTTTCTTCAAGCTGCCAGGTCCAGGTCTCAAACTGTGCACTTGGCCATGTAGGATCCAGGTGCCTTCACCACCATGCTGCCTGGCTGGCCCCTTTTCCCCTTCTAATGTGCAAATTTTCACACACTGTCATGGTTCTTGGACTTATTCTGCCTACCTTTGATGGTGTGTGAAATTCTATGCCTTTATGCAGACAACTGTCACCCAACTGTGCTGACCCATCACACCACACCCCACTGCCCAGACTCCCCAGCCCATCAGAGCTAGTACATTTTATTTTTTGCCCAAGAAGAAAATAACTGTTTTTCTTCTGCAACATAACCAGGATCCCATCACACTCAGTGACTGCAGGTACTTAGCGATGCTAAGGGGTTCTCGTTATGGTCCCAAATTCCCTGGACTAGGGATGTGTGTTTCTTTTTTTTGAAACACAGAGCCACCAGCCCCAAGACACTGACTTGGCATGGCTAGGCGAGGTGAGGCTTGAGACCCTGTGATTCCACACCTCCTCAGAGTCGGGACAGTACGGAGACCACCATGTTAGTGGAGCCCACATCCAACCACAGAATGACGGTGAGGGAACCAGGGCTCTGGGCTGACTTCTGGAGGTCTGGCTGACAGCAGCAGACCATACCAGGACACAGGACAGGCACCAGGGGGAGGAGTGGGGTGGCAGGTGGCAGCTCCAGAAACCCTGGCACTCCAAGCCAGCTGTACCTCATGAGCCACTGTATGTGGCCAGGAAGAGCCCCCCAGAAGCCAGGACACCAGGTTCCACTGGAGGAACGTGCCGGCAGGCACCTGGCAGTGCAGTGCACTCTGCACCTTCCAACCTGCAGCCGCGGTCCAGCCTGTGCCTTCCCCACCTGGCTGCTCCTAGCTCTCCCAAGCTTCCTGCAGACAGGAGAAAGGGCCTGGAGGCGGTGGAAGGAGAGCGCCGATTCAGGCCAGAGGAGGAGGAAAATGGACAAGCATCAGTGCGGAGAGGCTTGAGCAGAAACAATCCTCGGGCAGCCAAGAGCATCTTCTTCATCAGGACTCGTCCAGTGAAAGGGGTGTGAAAACCACACTTTCCAAAACAAACCCGGGCACTGACCGTGCACAGGGCTCTCCCACTAGAGGCTTTCCGAAGGCTTTGTGCTCCACCAGGACTCTCTAAATATTTACTTCCCACTCACACTCGGCTCAGCTCTGAGGCTGGGAATGGACTCGGGGAGGTCGAGTGGTGACCGCCTTGTCCGTCCTGTCCTCCTCTGACCCTTCCCTCCAAATTGCTAGTAAACAGCAATGACGACTCCAGTCCCTGCTCCTGTGTGTTCCTCACAAGGCTCCAGAGGGGCTCAGAGGTGTGGAGAGAAGCTGGGTAGGCCAAGGGAGGACACTCAGGGGCCTTGGAGCCGGACGGGCAGATCCTGACAGCTGCTCTGTCTTGGGCGAAGGACCTCTGCTTTTCTTTCCTTAGCTATCTGGAGGGTGCACCTCAGGGCCTGCCCTCACACGCTCACGGCACTGCACACACGTTTGCCTGTGACATTTCACACACACACGCCTAGCGGGCCAACTAGAAGCTCTAGCCGAGAAAGGCAGAAAGACCTGAACCCTGGGATTCATACTGGCTAGTCCCATTCCCCTTGAAAACGAATGCTGCTTTTTGAGATTAGGACCGACAGACACACTGAAGGTCCTTGGCTTTAGATGTTTCTGTTTCTGGAAACCAAGCAAGAGGGCACGATTCTCGTGTGCAAAAGCAACAGAAAACTGAGCTTTCACATCAGTTGTGAATTAGGCCTCAAATGCTCCAACAAGTCAAACAGGTCTTTAGCCCCAAAGAAACCCAGTCTCTGGGGCAGAAATGAGACTCCTGGCTGGCGAGAACCTGGGGTCTCTCTCTCTTCTTGTCTATGTGAAGCCAGCTGTCCCCAGGTTGGGCCCAGGCCAGGAAGCCCCGGGAGCTACACAAGCATACTCACAGCTTGCTGAGGCTGTCGAGCCCCGCGAAGGCACCGCTGGTGTCCTCTATTGTGCCTGAGATCTCGTTGTGGTCCAGGTCCCTGGGGAGAACACAGACAAGCTCGCCGTCAGTCCATCCTCACCTTGCTCTTCAACCCACAGCTGAGGAGACTCACACCGACCTTCTGCTTGGCTCATTTTGCGAGGTGCCCCCTAGAGGCCCAGCCTCGTGGCAGAGTGAGGGGAGTGTGGCCCTGGGAAGGAGCTCCATCCTGTAGCCTGTGTGGCAAGGCCTGGCTTTCCCAGCCTCCCAGGAGAGCTGACAGAGGCCTTGACACAGAGTTTGCCCATCTCAGCCAATGGAGGCTGCGCTCAGGGTGGGAATGGTGCAGCATGTGGGCAAGTCCGGATTGTACTTTGCCCCCAAGAGCAGACACCTGGCCCCCAGCAGCCAGCATCCATCTGGAAGGTTCCCGAAGGTTCCCATCTGCTCTCTTGCCCACCAGAGCCCTCCGCTGGACCTAAGAAACTGTAGAACCACGTGGAGGTGAGAGACTGCTAAGAGGTCCCTGCAGAGAGTCCCCGCCCCCTGGAGTCCCCAACGCTGGCCCCAGGTCTGGGGCCTGGAGCCCATGGCCTCACAAGGCCTGCCCACATAGGCTCAGAGCCAGGAGGACATCTGGGTGCTGAGTCAGACCTGGAACCCACTCGCCAGGATCGAGAGGCAGCCAGCTCCCCAGCCAGCAATGTCAATGAATCAGCGTCCTCCCCAGCTGCCAGGGCAGGTCATGGCCCCCGGTGACACATCACACCTGGTGACCAGGCCCCACCCTGTATGCGTGCTACTTTCCACGTGGCTCTTGGTTCCTAAACTGTCCTCTCCTGAGCCAGGGAGTCAGGGACAGAAAAGGATGAGTCAGGGACAGGGTGTGTGGGCTCTCTCAGCCCCCAGGAGACCACCATATGGACAGAACCCGGGGTGCCACGAGGGAGGGGACTCCGCCCACAGAGAGACATGTCTGCTGTGACCGTAACTCTGCATCAGGAATCCCAAGGAGCTGAGACCCTGCTACCCGAATCCTCCTTTCAGCAGGCGCCTCCCTGCTGTCTTACTGAGGTAGCCGGGGCTGTGGGGCTGTGGTTCTGTGTGCTTGTCCCCCGGCTCCTATGTGGGCTGCCCAAGTTCTCGTCTCCTTTCTGCCCCCTCAGCCTGACCATTCTGGCCTGGATATTCAGGCCCTGCAAAAGCTCAGTGTAAACAGCCCGGTGTGTGGGCTCTCTCATGCTCCCCAGCAATGACTCTCGTTAATGCTGATGCTGTCAGGCAGAGCCCTTCCTTCCTCTCTGTCACACAGGATCATGCCTGGGGAAGAGAGCTGGGGGCCACTTCCACTGCCTGGTGAAAACCACATGCCCCACTTTGGCGATTTCAGGCGGACAGCTGTTGGAAGGTCTCTGCAGCCAGCAACTGAAATGTTGTGTGAAAGTCCTAGCAATGTGGCAACTTCCCGCAACCCCACCTCCTGAGGCACTTAGAGGGCATCGCATTATCATCTCTGCTTTGCTGAATGACCCCTTAATGAGGTGCACGGGTCCCCTGAGTACTCCTGTTAGAAAGGAGGCACTCTGCGTAGAGGCCTGCTGTTCCAATGGGAGAACGAGAGATAACTTAATGGAGGATTCCCTGGGGGAAAACCATTCAGGATTTAAGACATGGAACTTACAACAGGAACACTCAAGACTGGAAGGCCTGACCCCACGAGGGGCTGCTGTCACAGACACTGCTGCGAAGGGCAGTCCCCACCGCCGTGGACAAGCACATCAGGGCTTTGCACCTCAGGCGCACCACAGCATGGGACTGGAAGCTCGGCCTCTGAATGTGACCCCTACCCTCGCTGTAAGCATGACAGGGACACGCCCACCAAAAGCATGTGGAAGCTCTTCCCAACAGCAGGTCCCAGCATCCCGCCTAACTCAGTGTGGGAATTACCGCTCGATAATGACAATTTTTTAGGCTCTTCATCTCCCCAGAGGCACCACCTTACAGGAATAAGAGACGTTCTGCTTGACCAATTATTTTGCAGCTAATTATGTACAAGTTTGAGATTCTGCCTGCCTATCAGGTCAGCTGTGGATCCAGATCCAATTCTGACTCGAAACCAACAACAATGGAACTCAACAAGGCAGGGTCTCCTCCACTCTGCCCTCCCGGCCGGGAACCCTTCATCCCATCAACCGAGAAAGACGTACAAGACCCGTAGGTTCTTGAGGCCCTTGAAGGCGCCTTCTGCGATGTGGCTGATGGAATTGTGGCTGAGGCGCAGGATACTCAAGCTGCTCAGCTCAGCCAGGCTCTCCTCGTCCAGACGCGTGAGGTTGTTGAAGGACAGAATCCTGGGGAAGGAGAGAGAGCAGGTGTCAACATCAGGACACGCACGGCTACCCTCTGCTCTCTCCTGAACACTGGGCCAGTGCCAGCTAGGTGTCACTTGAAGGGATGGGGACACACACACACACCCTGAGGGTAAAACGGCCAGGCAGCCAGCCTGGCAAGGCTCAGGGTCCATCCAGTCTGACTCCTACACGGCTCTGTAGTCACAGAGGCCGAGTGTCTGTTAAGCTGTGAGGGCTACACCAGGTCACATGACACAAAACTCCTCAAAGCTCCAACCTCGTCATGCTGGTCCTCATGCAAGCTTCCAAAGACCCAGGACTCCGGACAGGCCCCACAGCTGCTGACAGTACCAGGGAGCCCCGTTAGACTCTGCATCGGCCAGCAGAGGGCAGCAGCAGCCACTGCCTCGGAGCCTTCAGCAGTGCTTTTTGCCTTACCAGGTGGCACGATGGGACCGACCTAAGGCTCCTGCTCAGGCTTCCTTGTCCCCAGCCAGTTTGGCCAACATGACTATCCCCAACCTCTCTATTGTAAGCAAGATGGGGTACATGCACCTCGACTCATACACAGAATGAAAACCTTCTCCCTAGCACCCCTCTCACAGCCCTGGGTTGGTTACTGGGCACACTGTCATCTATCCTTGAAAATGGGAGATTTGGGCTGGGGCAGGGAGAAAGAAAACAAATTCAGAGATTAATGAACTTTTAAAGGTGGCAGGGAGCAACATTCCTTCCCTCCTGGAGAAGTCAGTCACGGTGTCTGTCAGTTGCAAAGACCTGGCAGGAGATCAGAGTCACATCTTCACCTGCAATTAAGGAATCTAGCTTCAAGGAGGGGCAGACAGCTCGCTCTGCCTGGAAAGCAATCCTAGCCCGGGCTGGACACTATTCCAGTCTCAGGCGAACACCGGGATCGGTTAAGGCACACTTCCATCACGTTTTCAGCCCCTTTGAAAGGGCATGGATTGCAGCTTCAAGTCTAAGTCATCAGCCAGCCAGAGCAGGGAGCAGGGAGCTCACAGGCTGGCCCGGAAGGGAATGTGCATTGCCCTGCTGCTGCCTTAGCCCCAGGGGCCCAGAGGGCTGCACCTCCTCACCTCACCTAAGAACGGACTGGCTCAGGTCTGGGGCCTTGAAAGACCTTTCTTGCTTCCCATGGTTCCCAGCCCTGTCTGACCTCCAAGGAGGTTCTTGGAAGTCCCTGGTGGGCTCACAGTGGGACAACTGCTTTCTGCATGAGGTAATAATGAATTCCCTGACACATGAACTCCAGGTCCCTGTGGCAGAGACCAGAAAAGCCCAGAAAGACATGCCACAGCAAGAATCAACACTTAGTTCAATATCCCCCAAGTCTGCACAGTGAGGTCGAGAGAGAGACGGGACAGCCAAGCCAGGCACTGTCCACAGCTGTTCATGTAGGTGGGAGAATTGTTCCCCCCACAACCAAAATCTAGAAAAAGGAGAAAAGGAAGAAGAGAAAACTCTCTGAAACTCTCCTGAAAGACAAAGAAACCTACCAGACAAAACCAGTCTTCCAGGCCCGGAACAGAAGCGAAGAACATGGAGATGCCCACTAAGCCCTTGGCGGTACTGCTTTCACAAACGACTGCTGCACTGCGATGTGGGGGGAGGCCAAGAACACACCAGCACCCCCTTCCCGCCCAGGGGGCACCGGTCAACCCTGAACTCACAACCTGAGCACAAGCTCAGGCATTCTCGGGCCCAACCTGGGAGGTCTTCGTTTGGAACTGTCCCAAGGAACGAGGTGGCTGTTCTCCTCTGATTGAGGCAAGAGCCCACGTCCGCAGCTGCACAGGAGGCCTGCTAGCCACTGGGATGCTACTGCGGAAGGACAGAGCCAACTGCCCGTCCAAGGGAGGGGAAGTGGAAACTCCGAGCACACATTCTCCCCCGTCAGCACGTCACCACCTCTTGGTTTCACTGTCCTACTCGAATGTGCCTCTCTGTGTTCAAGCTCAAATAACCCCTTTCCCTAAAGCGGCACACACCACGGCCATGGTGAGTTTGTACGGTCTCCCAAAACAGCTGTGGCAGGGATGCGTCAAGGGGTGCCCTTTCCCACGCGAGCC